CAAAACCAAAATAACAGACTCCCCATCTAAAAAGAATCCTTCAAACAAACAGAAAAATAAAAAGACAATATTACATATCTCAGGGTTACACACATACACACTAATAAACCCAAATGGGACTAGCCAGGAACCTTTATGCTGGAGGATGAATATCTAAGTTCCTCCAAAGAACAAGCTAAATTTAATACAGGGTTCAAAGTGGCTGCCTTCAACCACCCAAAGGAATCATGAAATAGGATTCAGGGAACACAGGGAATAGGAATTAGGAAACGCATCCCAAATTCTACAGATTCTTATTGACTTCTAGAAACTCTGGCAATTATGTGAGACATGTAAATTTTAAAATATATTTTAGACAAGACCTCACTCTGTAGTGCAAGCTAGCCTTGAACCTGCTACCCTCCTGCTTCTGCTTCACCAGTGCTGGGACACTATTCCTGGTGACATAAACTGCAATATTAAGCACAGGTGAATAGTTGGACAATTAAAGCAATGGAAATTCCTAAATACCTATTGTTTAGGCTGGTTTCATTTCTTCTGGAAAAAATTTTACGTAGATATTTGACCTCTGAAGTTCAATGACTGACCATCTTCAATTAGTAGGGTATTTTGCACTGTTTGTTCCTATTTGCTCCCGATAGCTGAGAACTCAGCATGCTACTCAAATGCTTGATATACTGACATTCCCTTAGAGACTCATAAAGTTGTCTCTTCATTTTTTGGTAGTGCTAGGGATCAAAACGAGGGTCTCACACAAGCAGAACTTCCATTCTTCCACTGAGCCAAACCCTTAACTCTTGGTGTTCCTTAATGTAAACTTTTAGCCAAGTGAGGTGCTCAGGTTTCTAGTAAAGTTGGTCAGGTGTCAACTCCTTCCCAGCACATCCCAGCAGACTACGCTAACAGACTGACTTTGTGACAACTTCGTTTTACCTTTGCGTTCTTCCAGTTAGAAATACAAGGAGGAATCTTCCATTCCTGTTGTTCCTTCACAGTCATCTGAGAAACAGGAGAAAGAAGAGACACTTGAGGCTTACAGCCTAGCTCAAAACCCACCTGCAATCTTTCTCAAAGAAAGCTCTATAAACACTGACATACAAAAAGACTTTGTCATGGAAAAATTCCATTTGTTTTGCAAGCAGTTCACACTAGGTTCCCTTATCATAGAGTCCTACAATAACTTAAGCTAATGAAACAAATGGAAAAGAATTCAGAAATGGTTATGAATGCTGACTCCCACTTTCCTATTCTTCAAAAGGGGTAGGACTTGGAGGGGAATGACATGATAAATACAAAAGACCTAAAAAGCCATTCAGATAAGGGATAGTGACCTGAGGAACCTGGGTACTTGTTTCTTAGAATTATGATGTTCTTCATGTGAAACAGATCTTGTCCATCCCACTGAACGCAGAGGCCAAGCTACTGGTGATAAAATAGCTACTACCTTACATGCACTCTCATGAACTCTCTGGAATCTAAACTAGGTCCTATTTGATCTTATAAAACAAATTAAAAAAGAACATTTAATCAGGGTGGTGACTTGTACCTATAGGCAAGGAGGGCATTTACTTTTATATCATTAATTTTTTTTATGTGTATGAGTATATTGCCTGCATGCATGTGAGGGCACCCCTGTTGTGCAATGGCTGGAGGACAGAAGAAGGCATTTTGGATCCCTGGAACAGGAGGTACAAGGTTAGTTGTTACGTGGGTGCTGGGATACGAACCTGGGCCCTCCCCAAGAGCAGCCAAGTTAACTACCCTGGAGCCATCTCTCCAGGCACAAGGGTATTTATAAAATTAAAAAAAGATTAATTATAGCACGGAATACCTTTCGACTAGGAGAATGCATTACAGGTGCAGGAGGAGAAGGTGGTCCCCGGGGAATTTTCTTATTAATCCTGAAAATAAATCAAGTATTTTTTTAAAAAAAAAAAAAAAAAAAAAAAAAAAAAAAAAAAAAAAAAAAATCAGTCACGTATTTTCTTAACTTTTAGTTATTAATTTTTAAGTCTTCCCTTCCTTTTCCCTTTTCATTGTAACACATTAGACTAAAATCGACTGTAATGAATGCTCATGACACACCTAACGCCTGGCTTCACGGGTTTATGTGGCTGTCACTCCTCACCCACATTACTACTGCACAGAGCAATCCACTTATAGAGATTAACTGACTCGCAACGCACTAAACACAGAGTGCACCATCTGATTATCTGGTGATCACAGACACGAACAGACTCATGAACCCCAACCTCTGCAGCCCTTGCCTGCTCCTCCTGGCTCTCCCTTTTCTTCTCTGTTCCTACTTTCTCCACAGGTAACTACAGAACTACCACCTAAACTAAAGGTAAAATTGCATGTTTAGAGGTTTGTCTTTATTCCATTATGCACGTATTTATTTAATGTGTATGCGCACATGCCCTGGTTAGTGTTAGGCTCAGAGAAAAACTCTGCAGCAGTGGGTTCTCCTTATAATACCACCTGAGTCCCAGGGGATTGAACTGCAGTCATCAGGCTCGGCAGCAGCACCGTCTCCCTCTGAGCCTTGTTGGCCCCATTTTCTAAGAGTTTCATATAAATGGAATCGTAACCTTGTACTGCTTCTTTCTGTCTGGCTTCTTTCACACAGCATAAACACTCTCAGACTCATCTATGATACTGTATCAGTTTATTCTTTTCCATGGCACAACAGGATTCCATGTGCTGATGTCTCCGTTTATTTATCCGTTCACCTGTTGATGAACATGTGTATGGCACTTCTTGTTTAACACTTCAAGAAGAGCAGTTCACCCTCATGAACCCAGCTACTTACTTGAACCTTGGAGGCTCCATTGGATCTTTCTGCATTTCCACCATACGAATAACCCTTTGTTTGGCTCCAGAGTTGAAAGCCACTCCTTGCTGTGATGGTGTGTATCTGAAGAAAATATATGGAAATGAAAGGTATAATCAGTAAAACCGTGTAAGTAGGCATTTATCGTTTACTATAATCCCAAGTGTCTACATCTTCAATTCCTTTCACCAAATACTGACAGAAAATAACCAAACATTTAGGCTGGGCAGATAGAAATGGAGATCAGAAAACTAACAGAAATTATGAATCACAGGTAAAATGTGAACATAGTGCTTAGTGAATTCCTTCCACATCCTTTTGTACCTGAAGGATACAATCATTCAGTTTCACAGAAAGGAGGCAGAAAGACAGTACCTATTTTTTATAAGTTGTGGAAAATTGTGGCAGAAGTCCCATTAGCTCTGAATTTTCCCTTAACATCTAGATTCAAATCCATCCTCAGAAAGATTTAGTTAAGTGTAGGCCCTCAAAATTTAGCAGCATTATAAACATGTTTGTTAAATATAATTGGAAACTGGGGCTAGAGAGATGGGCTCAGCAGTTAAGAGCACTGACTGCTCTTGCAGAGGACCCGGGTTTGATTCCCAGCACCCACATGGCGGCTGCAAACTACCAGAAACTCCAGTTCCAGGGGATCTGATACCCTCTTCTGGACTCTATGGGTTTTGCATGATATGGGTGCATTCACATACACCCAAGCAAAATTCTTCATACACATAAAATAGTTAAAAAAAAGAAGCGGTTGTACTGGTAGAATCTACATCCAGTGGCCTGTGTTTGGATCCTGCCTCTGACAGTTCTTAGTTACTGCCAGGCAGACACTTAGCATTTCTATGCCTGTTTCCTTCTCTGTGAGACAGGGAAATAATGGCACCTACTCCAAGTTTTAAATTTAGTGCATCAACATATAAAAGTTACTTCAAAGCCAGGAGCATAGGCAGTGCTTGGGTCACGATTAACGATTGCTAAAAACAGAAAAACCCTTTGAGGACCACAATGGCTAACATCTTTTTAAAAAAATATTTTATTTATTATTTTTATTTTATGTGTATGAGTGTATTGCCGTATGTGAGTGCACCCATGTCGTGCAATGCAGAAGAGGTCAGAAGAGGGCTTCGGATTTCCCTGGAACTGGAGTTAAGGATGATTCATAGTCACCACGTGGGTGCTGGGACTCAAACCTGGGTCCTCTGCAAGAGCAATTAGTGCTCTTAGCTGCTGAGCCATCTCTCCAGCCCCTACAACAGCTAACATCTTGAACTGGGTCCTTTATAAAAATCCCCTTCAGGAGCTAGAGAGATGGCACAGCAGTGAAGTCTGCTCTTGCAGAGGACATGGGTTTAGTTCTCAGTACCCACATGGTGGGTAACAACTCTCTATAACTCTAATTCTAGGGGATCCAATGCCCTCTGCTGGCCTCCATAGGCACTGCACGTATGTACTCACATACATGCAGGCAAACCACACATGTACATAAAATTAGAAAACAAATTTCTTTCAGTATCCCGCAAAAAGTCAAAAGGTTTCATTCAAAAATCATTTAAGATGATACATTTATAACTGACCATGCAGGCTGAGAGTTATCAATCCCAATCATCCAGTCAGAAATGAAAACATGACTTCTGGCAGGGTTCTTACCGGATGTACTGAGCAGGGGCCAGCTTGTCAGCTGCTCGAACTGGCATGGCTGCAGCAACCTTCTGTGATACAGATTTCTCTAAGGCTACCCTTGTCTTCTCTGTTATCTGAAATAAGAAACATCATGTTGAGTGATTTGGATGTTAATAAAGATAAAGGAAGGATATGAAATATGTCTCAATTCCCAGTTACCTCTCTAATAGCTTCTTCATCCGGTCTTTGCAGGTCCGGGTCATCTGCATTCATAACCTCCTTTGGAACCAGGTCAGTATACTTGCTATAAATGACCTAAAATGTCCAAACACATGTCTTTCAGCAGACTCACACACAGAGAGTACACTTCTGTTGTTTAGATCTTAAAACTAGAGAAGCTTAAAATATATATGGATATTGCTGCTCTGATTATAAGTTAATAATGTTCTCTGATCCCACGCATGTAAATTATTTGAGATCTTCTAATCAAACCAGTATCCAAATAATCTGTGCCAACAAAAATCTATTTTTTTTAAAAAGTATGGAATGCTTCACTAATTTATGTGTCATCCTTGCACAGAGGCCATGCTAATCTCTATATCGTTCCAATTTTAGTATATGTGCTGCTGAAGTGAGCACAACAAAATCTATTTTTGAGGCTCACTAGGACTTGAAATCAATGACGATGTAAACTGCCTGTAGGACCATTACCTTGGATTAAAAACTCCTCAGAATTTAAGTCGGGTTACCAAATAATTTCCAAATTCACTGGGCCTAGAAAAATTCATTGCTCTCATCCTATTCATAATGTTTCTGTTTTCTGGGATCAATTCTATTCACAGACTAAGAAAATGAACATGTGTTATAATGGAAAAAAAAAAACAAAACGACTGTATTCTTCTATAAGACAAAAATAGGGAAAACAAAACGACTGTATTCTTCTATAAGACAAAAATAGGGAACTGGAGAGCTGACTCAGCGGTTAAGAGCACTGGATGCTATTCTACAGGACCCAGTTTCAGTTCCCAGCACCCACACAACCCATCCATAACTCCATTTCCAAGGGATCTGATGTCCCTTTATGCTCTGCAGGCAGTGCACACACATGTACACTCACTTCATACAGGCAATACACTCATACACATAAATTTGAAAAAAGACAAAAATAAAAACGAGGAAAAGACAAAACACATTTATATACGCATTCTAATTTCATTCTTTTGCTGTGCCAGATGCAACTTAGGGAAGAAGTCATACTACATTCAATTCTATGTCACAGCCTATTACTTGGGGATGTCAAGGCAGGAACTGAAGTGGCTAGTCACATTACTTCCCCATCAAGATCAGAAGCCAATGGGTCTTTGCTGCTTGCTCTCCTCCTGCTTTCTCCTGTCCCATATAGCGCAGGACTCTGCCTAGGGAATGTGCTACTGACTATGGGCTTTGTCTTCCTAAATCAATGAACAAAGAAGACAATCCCTCACAGACATGTCTGAGGCCAAGGAATTCCAGGCTGTGGCAAGCTGACAATTAAAATCTAAGCATTCCAATATGTACTTACTCTGTACTTAAATTTAGGTCTATGTCATGAGTGCTATTGGGTCCAACATGGTTTCTCTTAGGGTGATTCTGATGTGATAGGCCCTTGAAGCACAGATTACTAACTCTCCTGTCATCTATGTTTGCCAAGTATTTTCACCAAAACTTACATGGCAGATTTTAAAGAGGAAGAAAAGCCATGCATGGTGGTACATGCCTTTAATCTGCATACACAGGAGGAGGCAGGTGAAGCTCTGTGAATTCCAGGCCAGCCTGGTCTATATAGCGAATTCCAGGGCTACACGGTGAAGCCCTGTCCACCACCCCTCCCAAAGCATAGAACAAACCCAGAAACTTGATAATAAATATTTAGATTTTACACTTTATCTAGAAATTCTTTGACATATAACATAAAAAGGATAACTTATGACTAGGAGAGATGGGACTCCATCTTCAAATTTTTCCTATGGAAAAGTACTGACCACGGGAAGCTAAAACCTTACATCAATTGCATTCTCTCACACGATATTTCTTAAAATAATTTGAAGAAAATGCATAGTCATCTCAATTTCCTGATGCAAACAGAACAAGAGACAGCTTTAGGACTCACTTCCTCTACCTGGCTTTGCCTAGAGTCCAACCTCCCCTTCCTCCTCACTTCCTCACTTATGCTTCAGGCACACAATCTTCTGTGCCCTGAACATCTGCTGTCCGCCAATTATGAGGCTTTGTACAGTGCTGCTCTCGCTTCTTCAAGAAGCTCTTAATCTGTGTTCCAGATCATAGGGCCTGCACTGGGCCGTCTGCCCTGGTTAAAGTAGCAGCCCCTCCAGACCTAGTCATTCTGCACCACAGCACTTTGTCTACTGTCTTCAAAGCATTATTTACAGCGTGCTTGTTTACTATGTCTCCCCTACTACAACAGTAAGAATATCAACAGCTCATAGTTATTGCATGACACTGGGTGGTTGTGTGTGTGTGAGATCTAGACTAATTTCACCTTGATATTCACCCATGAGGTTTATAGAATTATTATACCTATATTACTGATGAGAATCTTCATTAAAGAGGAGGCAAAAGACAAAGGCAGGATAAGAGCTGACATAGTCTTCCATTTGTATACTAAAGCAATTGGAGCATCCCCTGTTTAGGGTGTGACAGGATGGAGAGGAGCATGGATTTCAGTTTGGCTGAGGATGTGGGAACAGGGAGCAAACAGGAGACACAAAATAGAACGACTGCATTTTTGTAAAGGCTCAACAGCTATGCTGCAGCAACAAAAGATAGGCTGCTAACGAGTTTAGAGGGTTAAATGGAACAGTCTGGGAGAGTAAAGACTACCAAAGGCTTGAAAGTATTCTTCCTATATTATCAAGCCTAAAGAAATGTTGTGCTTCTATCTTATTTACCAGGGAGAAAAAACAAAACAGCCAAACCAAACCAACCAAACAAAACCCCCCAAACCCAGAAAGTAAGCCTTCTTAAAAATAGTTCCTGCCGGGTGCGGTTGGTGCATGCTGTCAGTCCCAACACTTGTGGGACAGAGGCAGGTAGATCTCCGTCCCAGGACAGCTGGAGCCACAGGGAGACCCTGTCTCAAAAAGACCAAAAAAAGATCCAAAATCTAGATGGCAAATGCTAGTTTTTGTTTAATCTGAGACAAAGGAGTTTGTGTTATATCCAAATGATCGATTAAAACAGGAGCTGAGGATACACAGTGCTACAGCCCAAGCTTAGCATACACACAAATATACTGTAGACACTGGATCCCTAGCACCACACACAGAAAGTAGATAAGGTATGCATCTATGTAAATATTCTGAAAGAACAACAAAACACACTGTCCTACCCCTACCCCTACCCCTTCCCGCCACTCAAAGCAGCTATTATCAATTTGTGGGGAACAGACAGGTCATTGATGTTAATCTAATTACACTGAGTAGCTACTTTCCTTCTGGTGCTGGGGTCAAGCCCAGGGCCTTGTGCTTGTGAAGCAGGTGCTCTCCCTCCTTGTGCTGGGAAGTAGGTGCTCTCCCACCTTGTGTTGGGAAGCAGGTGCTCTCCCTTCTTGTGCTGGGAAGAAGGTGCGCTCCCTCCCTGTGTTGGGAAGGAGGTGCTCTCCCACCAGTTTCAACCCAAATCACAAGGGATTTATCATTTCCACAAAATTTAGTAAAAAGTCACAAAATAGTTATCAACAAGAAGAAAAGACCAATGAGGGACTACCTTGTCTTTTGACTGTCCTTGTCGAGCAATTGCATCATATTTAATTTTCCCTTCAGGATCCACCTGAATGGCCAGTGCATTTGACATTTTTCTCTTTCGCCCCATATCCAGTGGATACTGGGCCACATGGATTTCTGGAAAAGCACCTCCATCTCCAAAATCCTGTATATCAAAAGTAAAGAAATAAAAAACAAGATTTAGCAGTAAGTGGGGACTCAAGATGTATTCCTACAAAATGTAATACTGAATCTATGCTAGATGTTAATGATACAGCAATTAAGGAAACTGAGGACCTGCTCTTGCGGAGTTGACACTTAATAGAGAAAGAGATAAAAACACAATCTTTGGTTGTAGTCCTACAGGGCCTGGGAAGAGGTGCTACTTTCAAAAGTGTCTGGGATATCTCTGGAAAGAAATAAAATGGATGAAATCCTCAATGAGGAGAAGGCAATCAAGGAAAGCCCCAAGGGAGCATTTTCTTTGTGTGTTTGGGGGTAAGATTTATACTTGTTTGTTTGTTTATTTATTTATTTATTTAATTTGTGTGTGGGCATACATGTGTGCATGCCATGTATGTGCAGGGTCTGCAGAAGGCAGCAGCAGTCACTGGATCCCATGAAGATAAGAGTTACATGCCACGAGTGGTGGTGCACACCTTTAATCCCAGCACTGAGGAGGCCGAAGCAGGTGGATCTCTGTGCGTTCAAGACCAGCCTGGTCTACACAGTGAGTTTAGGCCAGCAGGGACTACAGGGAGACCCTGTCTCAAAAAGACAAAAAAAAAAAAAAAAAAAAAAAAAAAAGTTACAGGCCACTGTACAATGCCCAGTGTAGGTGATGGGAATTGAGCTCAGATCCTCTAGAAGAGCAGTAATGGCTCTTAACCACTGAGCCATGACCCTAGCTCCAGAGGGGAACATTTTCTAAGTCAAGCGAACATCAAGCATGAAAGCCCTTCTATAAAAATGAAGCTTAGTCTACTGGATATATGCACTTTTGGAGGACAAAGGCAATGACATCAAGGTTGCATGGGCAGAGGAATAATTCATCAAGGGCCTTCTAGGCTATGGCATGGAATATATGTGGTAGAAGAAACTAACAGAATGTCTAGTACAAAGCAAAGTTCTAGTTTTAGCATGTGCACACAGACATACAGAGGATCAGATAGAGCTATACTTAGGAGCAGAAATGTAAGGAAATTTTCTTAGAATCATATCTTATTAATATCATTCATTCACTGTTTGAAGAAGCAAGTAAGCAAGATCAAAAAAGACCCAGAAATGAGTCATCCTACCTTTCCTTTCTTTTCAACTGAACTGAGGTTCTTGTGATAAAAATAAGAGAGAGAGGGGCCGGAGATGGCTCAGCAGTTAAGAGCACTGGCTGCTCTTGCAGAGGACTCAGGTTCGATTCCCAGCACCCAGATGGCAGCTAACAACCACCTGTAACTCCAGTTCCAGGGGATCATATGCCCACTTCTGACCTCCATGGGCATCGCACAGCATGGGCACACTTACATACATGCAGGCAATACCCTTATACACATAAAATAAAAATATTTTTTAAAAAAGCAAATGAAGAGAAATAAACCAGAAAAGTAGCTACTACTGGTTATGTCATAGTATTGTTTCTGTTGTTGGGAGAAATGGATATATTGCAAACGGAAGAACCACTCTGTTCCCTGCTTTAAAAGAATTTTTAAATTTCATTTTAATTTTTCTTTTTTTTTTTTTGAGACAGAGTCTCCCTGTAGCCCCAGCTGACCTAAAACTCACTATGTAGACCAGGCTGGCCTGGAACTCAAGGAGATCCCCCTGCCTCTGCCTCTGGAGTGCTGGGATTAAAGGCGTGTGCCACCATACCTGGCCTCATTT